TTCTTGACGGTCGAAAATCTACCGCCAGCACTTTTTTTTTCTCCTGAACCCTCCAAACCATAAAATCCATCATCAACTATATTTTTATTCTTGAGGAGTTTTTTTTTCACTGCTGGTCGGATTTGTGTTTAATCGCTGCCCTTGACAATGACTGTAAACTGGCATTTAATAAATTAAATTAAATTAAGCCGGAGTACTTGAAAGACAGAATATCCCATGCTTGAGTCTTGGTACCCAGATGTCAATTACAACAACAGTCATTTATGCCTTCTTGTGGCCTATAGAGTCCTATGGCACTACATACGCCATGATCAGGATAAGACGATCACACGGAACCCAAATATGCCAAGCAAACATGGCCCGTCGACTAATTTACTTGAGAGGGGAACAGAGCTGCAACCGACCCCGATTGGGGTGACGACACGCAGCACAGGAAGCCGCCTACATTCACAGACAACGGCCAGAAGGCCAAGTCAGCGAGAAGAGAAGAAAATTGATCTGCCCAATGCCAACTGATTCGGCCGTTTGTTCAAAATTCTGGTCGATCTTTTGCACAAAACGCTTTGATAACGGAGAGCCATCCAAGACTTCCGAAAAGTCAGCTACTTAATTCCAATGATCCGATGAGCCCTTCATGTTTATCAAGGTATAAAAATAAAACGTGAATGCAACAGTGACCTGCTGAATGTCTAACTGCCCAAGAAGTTGTGGTTCCAGACGGATCGCAAGCATCATGTATTCCCCATTTGATCAAATTCCGGTTCATTTCAGTGTATTTGTGGGAAATAGGCTTACGCTTATCAACTCACTATCCGTCTCATACAAATCGAAAGAATTCACAAAAATATGAAGAAATCGCAGCATCATTTGTATGAAGACCTCGATTCACATAGGCCACTGGTTTTTAGGGTTACAGGGTCACATATTCCGTTTGTTGCTGCAGCATATATCTGTCAAGCCGATGTTCAAATGTCCCTACAGATTAAGATCTTATAGTCACCTCGAGCAGGTTATTCCACTGTTCCACGACACGGTTGGGGAAAAAATACTTTCTCACATCCAATCTTCCTTGGGGCACACGCAGTTTAAAGGGGTTTCCAAGAGGTTTTTATGGTGGCGAGTTGGAATAAATCGTCTCACTGGAGGGTGCAGTCCAAGCTTCACAAGATACGGAAAGTTTGTGTCAAGCCTCAGCACAACTTCCTATAACTCAGAGGACAGCGATCAAGGTAGTTTAGGCTTATCTCACATGGCAGTGCACCTTGGCCTCTTAGATAGATAGATAGATAATTTTTATTAAAGACCCGTCGGGGTCCCATCAAAGCAAGTTAAAATAAATTTGCATGCGAGTTTTAGACGAGGTAGGCCGAATCTTTACAAAATGCAATTCCTAGTTTCTGAATTAGAAGTCC